CAGCTCTGCAGGTGGGGTCTCACCTGAGTGGGGCAGAGGGACACAATCCCCCCTCCTGCTGCTGGGAATGACCACAGCCCCCTTTTTCAGCAGTTCCTGATTTCCCACACCATCAATTCCCTCCCACCACTCCACTCTGGAGCTGGCAGGACCCTGAGGCCATGGCAGGAGCCCAGCCCTCTGACCTGGATGCTCTCTCCTTCCCTGCAGACCAGGGGAGACTCCACCCTGCTGTAATCCACCCCCAGCACCCAGCTCTTGTCAATGAGCTGCACGTTGTCCCCTGCACCACAGGGACTTGGTGCTGTGGCTTCTTTGTGACTTGGCTCAGGAGCTCGTTTGGAGTGGAAGAGGCTGAACACCACATCTCCCTTCAGGATGTCAAAGTCCCAGGTGATGACAGATTCCCCCTCCAGGATCTCCACGAGTATCTGAGAAAGGAACAGAACAAGCCCCTTGCAGGGTCAGGTGCTCAGCACTGTGCTCCTCCCCACTCTGGGGCAAACCTGGCTCACAATCCTTCAGCTGGTCTTGGTTACTGAGGGAGACACACACCACCTCCCACAGTACCCCCACTCAGGTGTTTTTACCTTTTCTCCCCATATCAGAGTAGCTTATAAATGAGTAACTTGTTCTAGGAAAACTTCAGTGGAACGGAGAAAAGAGCCAAATCAGAGTGACTACTCCATCAGAGGCCAGAAGACTGATCTGACACTGATTTGCTCCTTTTTGGGACATCCTGTTTCCTGGTGACTCCCAGCTCCCTTTATCACCCCCATTACTGTCCCAGCTGGGAATGGGAGTTGAACTATCACAAGGGACACTGAGAGCCCTTTATTTCTCCCAAGAGAAGGAGGAGGAAAAGACTGGACCTTACAGAAGATCAGGCCACAGCAGAGATAAGAGCCACTGCTGCTCACACTGCTGCTCTTCACTGCAGCTGCTCCCGTGCAGGAACAGCAGCTGCTGCTGAGCCCCCTGTGCTGGGAGCCCCTGGCTGCTGCAGCCAGCCCAGCAGAGGGGACACATGTCACTGTGCCACCCCAGCAGCTCAGGTGAGCTCTGTACCTCGTGTGGGGCTCCTCTGAGGACACTGGCAGAGTGGTAGATGGTTTCTGTCCACAGGCGGATGTGATCCGAGTTCTCGGGCTCGTCCTCGCTCTGGTACAGGGACTTGGGGACCAGCCCCCCCTCTGAGACAGTGCACTGCAACATCACACAGACACACAGACAGACAGACAGACAGGGGCTCAGCATGCTCCAGCAGTGAGGCAGCAACTCCTGCTGCTGTCAGACACGGGCTGAGCCCTCAGCTGGGCCAGAACTGCACTGGGCTCTGAGCTCATGGGAACCACTGAGGTTTCTGTGAGCTCCCTGCAGAGAGCTGTGCTCTGACCCTGCTCCAGTGCTGGGGAAGGTGAAACAGGAAAGCCTTATAAATAGGATTGCCTGGCAAAAGATTTTGAGAATATGGAAACTATAAGTGAGATTGAAATGAAAGCAAGCTTTGAGATCCCTCAGTTACTGAACAACTGGAGAACAATGGTGTGGCCAGCTGAAGGTAATCCCCTTTTGATGGAACAACACCCTCTGCTTGCAGACAGGACCAAGGGTCAGAGCAGACCCCACAGCTTGGCTGAAGGGGCCCAAAGAGGAGTTTATAGGGTTTAAAATGTAACACAGTATGGTGATGTAATGATTCTTACAGGCCGTATGGAAATGCTGTAGGATTTGTATCTTGTACTAGATTGGTTAGTGAGAATTAGAATATTCAACACAGAAGAAGATTTATTGTAATGGGAACCTCGCTCTCTCACCCTCTCTCCCCCTCTCCTCTCTCAGCCTGCTCTGAGCTGTGGCTGCAGCTCCCAGCAGGGCCCTGCCCCAGGCCCTTTGCAATGAACCCCAAGTTCCTGACCTGGCTGCAGAGATCTCTGTCTCTGTCCCCACTGTCCTACCCCCCAACACTCCTACACCCCAGGACCCCAGGGCAGCACCAGCACTGCAGGGGCAGCCCTGTGTGCCCAAATGAACTGCCCTGTGCCCACAGCAGGGCCATGCTGGCCAGCACTGAGGCTTAACCCCTTCCAGAAGGCAGTGGAAGGCCAGGGGGGTGAGGAACAGGAAATCAGCTCCAGATTGCATCTGCACAAGAGGAAGGAAAACTCACCATGCAGTCTCCTCCCAGGAAGTCTGGGATCACATCCTTGTCCACATAATCCACCAGCCCTCCTGAGCCCTGGTAGTTATTGCCACTGTAGATGAGGAACTTCTGCCTTGTGTTCTCATTGATGAAGGGACTGACCTGCAAGACAAAGGGCACACAGGACATGGCTGTCACTGAGGGCAGCTGGGGACACTGGCTGAGCCATCTCATGACATGTCTCAGCAGTGTGCAGAGCTTCACAGCTCTGAGGCACTTCCCAGAGAGAGGGATAACAAACTGAAAATGTTCTCTCTCTCCCTGTATCACCATCTCACAACACTTTCTGCTTCATGTAATGCAAGTCTGCAGTCACTGCCTCACCCACAAACCTCACAAGAAATGTGACAACCATGTTCTCACACTGCCAGAGCAGTCAGCAGGCACCAGGCAGAACCAGATTTATTATTTACTACTGATTATTACTACTTATTACCCTTCAGTGTCCTACAGCATAAGATTAAAAGGTATCTGTCTTTTCCCATCTGTATGAAAGCCCACCAAGTTTGGGTGGAATGGGCAATTCTGATCCAGGTTTCTCATCCTGTCCTGGTGGATGGCAGTGACCAGAGCCCAGTGAGCTGCAGGCACCCCATGGCCTGGTTCTGCTGTGGCTCTTCAGGAGCTCCCCAGGAGCTGCCTGGAGATTTTCCCTCCCTGCCTCTGCTGATGCAGCCATCTGTGACCCTGCAGAGCCCAGCTTTCACCCACCAGGGTCCAGAGCACAGGGAAGACCCGCGGTGCCCTCACAATCAGGAGCCTCCCCAGGGTCTCAGGGTAGTTGTCCTCCACCACCTCGATGATCCTGAGCAGGGCCTTCACCCCAGGCCGCCACAGGTGCCTCATATTGAGCCCTTCCAAGTCCACCAGGCACGTCCAGGATCTAAAATAAACAGGCAGAAAAAGACCTGTCAGAACTGCAGAGTGTGGTGGCTGCTCAGTTCAGGATCCACAGTGACCCCACAGCCCCTGCAGGACCCAGGGAAGCCTGTTGGGACATGAGCAGCTCCAGTAAAAGCACATCTCCACTTGGGCAGCAGAATCCAGGTGAGCTCCAGGTAACACACACCCAACCCCAAGGGCAGGAACATCTGTCACTCTGGAAGAAGGTGGTGAAGGTAATGCAGGCCTATTGCTAAAAATAATGTAAAAATGCATTTTAATGAAGGTGGAATCTGTCAGACAGGCTCCTGTATTAAAAAACCCAGAATTTCAAAGATGTGGATTAAAATCACCAAGACAGAAAGATTAAATTAATCTGAGATGGGCTATAAAAATGATGTAAGGAAGGATCAACACTTGCTTTCCAACAAAACTGCAGAATTTGTCTGCGTTTAAGTCCAACAAATAAATATATAAATATCTTATGGGCTAGATGGGGACCACAGACACACTGCTGTCTGCACTGTAACCCTAAAGACATCACCCCAAACCACAGCAGCATCCTTCACCATGGCACTGAGGGTCTGCAAGGGCTCAGGAAAACCAATATAAATCAGTTATAAACCAATGATAAACCAATGATAAACCACTGATAAACCAGTGATAAACCAGTGATAAACCAGTGATAAACCAGTGATAAACCAATGATACTGACGTGATGGGGCGGCCGAAGATGTTGGTGTTTTCCTCACATCTCTTCTGTCCCTCCTCATTAATGGACAGAACCTGGAATCAAAGACAGCACAGACAGGGATCAGCCTGAGAATGGCTGAGTAACCAGGATGGCTTAGAGATCTTATTTAAAAAAATACAGAAAGCAGAGGGCTGGGTTAGAGGGGATATTGGGAATTAGGAATTGTTCCCGGTGAGGGTGGGCAGGCCCTGGCACAGGGTGCCCACCCTGGATCCCTGGCAGTGCCCAAGGCCAGGCTGGGCAGGGCTGGGAGCAGCCTGGGATGGTGGAACATGTCCCTGCCCATGACAGGATGGGGTGAGATGAACTTTAAGGTCCCTTCCCACCCAAACCATTCCAGGATTCCTGATGCACCATGCCAAGAGTTCCCAGCACCCTGAGGGGACAGTGGCACACAGAGGCCCAGCTCACGTGTCGCAGCAGGGACTCCTCTCCCAGGGCCTTCACCAAACCCTTGGTGTCCATCTGCCCGAGGCGGAGGATGTAGAGCGGCCGCCCATCTTCAAACAAAGGGGTTAGAGAGGGCAGAGCTTTAGTCTCCCAGGATATCACTCTCATACCCTTTTTAAAAGCCACATTAAATATTGGAAAAGGATAAAAATCACTGCCAAAAGCAACCTGTTCAGAGAAATTGCTTTGCACTGACTGATCTGTGCAGAGGAAATACAATTACAGGGAAGCAGAGTGGCTGCTCACAGGCACTGAACTGCATTGTTAACTTTAAACATGTCAATACTGCTTTCCTCAACATCCCAGGCCACCAGTGAGGTGCCAGGGGCATAAAATAAAATAACCCTCCATAAAATCAGAGGGTTTTGGGAAAGCTGCAAAAGGCAGGCCTCAGAGACAGCAGGACTGTGATTAGAGCTGAGCAGTAGCCATAGGATAGGTCAGCAGAAAAATTATGTAAAATGTAGGAATGTAAGGATAAATAGAACAATGGTCTGTGTATTAATGCTTGTCTAGCATAACTCCCTAAGCTGCAGAAAAGTTTATCTAGTGAGATGTTAGGAAGTTTTAAGCTTAATAATGGAGCTCTGTGCATTGTGTTTTAAGGCTCACAAGCAGGTATTGTATCCAAAATAAGCAAGCAGTGTTTAACCAGAGGTACCTGGGCTTATAGTGGTTGGATAGAACTACTGTCAGTGTGCTTTTGCTTTGTGTGATTGGTCAGAAAACTTTTAAAGTGAGTTGTAACATTGATTTCTTGGTCTGCTGCTGGCATCTTCCCATTGTCATAGCCATGGAATGAGAGTGGTGGTGGAAAATCAAAGAGCTCAAGGCACGTTCCCAGCAGTCCCATCCCGTTTGTGATTTGTACAGAGCCCCTGGCTGGCAATCCTCACCTTTGTCCTGGTAGTGCCAGCCCCCAGTGTAGTACTCCTGCAGCAGGGCTGGGGGTCTCCAGGACTGCAGGATGAGATCCACCTGGTACTGCTTGCGCCAGGCCAGCGACTGGCACAGCATCTCCCGCGCTTTGTCGATGTTGAAGTCGCGGGCGCGCAGGAACCGCAGGATGTGCTCATCCTTGGGGATCTGCCAGGAGACACAGCCCCAGGATCAGCACTGCCATGTCCCATCTGGCCTGCAGAGCAGGCTGCACTTGACACCAGTTTTTAATCTCTTCAAAGTAAGACAGGAAACATTAAAGTTCCCTTCTGCCTCCCTCCCTCGGCAGCTAACCCAGCTGGAAGCAGCAGAGGGTGCAGGAGCACAACAGCAGGGACCAGCTCACTTCACTGCCTGTGGGAAGCCCTTCCCAGTACAATTCCCTGGCCTGGCTGATATTTCCCTTGGCTGGTTATCCACAAGGATCTCTAAAATACTGTGTGAAAGTCAGGGAGCTGCAAGTTCATCTGCCCAGGGCAATCAGCATAGGATGGGAACAGGTACCAAACAGCCACAGGTAACACACTGAGCACAGAGGCACTGCAGGGAATCACAACTGGGCAGTCTGAATGATGCCACCAGTACCAATTCCAGCTCTTGTGCAGGCCCTGCTGCTGGTGTTGGGACAGGAAAGCTGCTGAGAGCTTCAAAGGCCTCCCTGCCCCATTACACCACAATAACTCTTGATCCAAATCAGCCCAAACTACAACACACCCTCTCCCAATCACTCACCCAGCACTAGCACTAATCCTCACATCACAGGCACAAAAGCTTCCCAAAGCAAGTCTGCAGAATGGCTTATCCCAACCTCCTTCCAGATCTACCATGTTCTCTTCAGCTGAGGAATCAAAGACAGCTTGGCAGGAGTGCCAAGCACCAGGAATTAACAACAAACGTGATGGATCCCACAGAAGTGCCAAATCTGACTAAGAGCCTGTCAGCTGCAAATCCAACTGGATTAGAGCTGCATGTGCTGCTGGATTCACAGTCCCTCACTCCAACTTCTCCAAAAGTGCTTGGCCTCATTCTCTACAAGTTTCCATAAAAACCCAGCTCTGTGGAGCAGGGATTGTCTGTTCCAGAGAACCCATGTTGTGCTAGCACAAGCCAAGCACTCCCAGCCCTGCTGGGACACAAACCCCCATGTTCAGCAGTCAAAGCTCCTTTGTTTGTCCACTGCCATGCTCAGGGAAACAGAAAGCTGGGTAGAAAGCAAAGCTGTGTCAGGAGGGAGCAATCTTGGATTGACAAGCAAGAGATGGTAAGAATTGGCTCACCTACAGAAGGGGCAGAGTTCAGGCAGCCTAAACCAATCCTGAAGCACCTCAGGAGCAGGGGGGAGGTTAACACTGGTTCTAACACTGCCTCTGTGTGTCCTGGAAAGGAGAGGGCAGCCTTCCCAAAGATGATCTCAGGAGTATGTACAGGAATTCAGTATGACAGCAAGTTTAAAGCCAGCAGAGTGCTCATCAGATAATTCAGGATTGTGTTCCTGCTGCTCAGAGGCAGCTGCCACTCATCAGGCCCAGCCCAGACACCCACAACAGCTCCTGGATCCCTGCAGGAGAGGGATGGCTGGTGCAAGGTTTGATATTTTCCTGTTTCAAACCTCCCCTGTGCAGGGCTCCAGGCAAGAGGCAAATCCAGCACTTCAGTTTGGACCAAAGGCAGGAAGCTCCAAGAAGACTTCATTCCACAGCAGAATTAATCTTTTATCCTTGTCCAACCAAAGCAGTAACTCCCACATGCAAGAAAATGAAGGTTTAATTTCAGCCTGCTTTTGTATTCCCTGGTAAAACTGCTGCACTCTCCTGCATGCTGCAAAACCTTGAACAGAGCTTTAAGCTGCTGCAATTTTAACACCATTTACAGTTTGTTCCTTCAACTCCTCAGATTTTTTAAGGAACAACATATCTGATTGTAAAGGTAATGTCTGCTTTGGAAGGAATGGGGAAAAGATAGTGAAATAGGACAGAGGACAAAAATAAAAAGGGCCATTTTCCAAGAAACAGGAGATCTATTTTTTGATAATTTCTGATAGAGGAATAAGGCCATCCCTGCTCTGAATTAAAAAAACAGATTGTCACAGCAAGGTAAGAGCCTCTCCAGGGACAAGCCCAGCCTTGCAGGAGAAGCTCCTGATTTTGGCCTGCTCTGTCAGGGAATCAGGAGAAGCAGCTGAGCAGTCAGGGGGTTCAATGTGAAGTTTCAGCAGCCAGCACCTCCCCTCCTGTGTGCCCACAAACTCTGGGGACAGGGTCAGCAAGGCCACCCAGAGGCAGCTCCAGTGTCCCCAGAGCCCAGGATTCAGCTGCACTGCCCAGGGGCTGCCACTCCCTGCCCAGCCCCAGGCACCAAGGGGCAGCTGCTCCACATTTGGCTTGTGTGCTCTCACCTTTTCCTTCCCCAGCCTCTGACATGGAGGGGGAAAACCAACCTGTGGGTTGATACTTTTCAACCTAAACAAAGGTTTAGGTGGTGCCTGTTCCAGGTGAAAGCAGGATCCCTGCAGGGACAAAGCCTCCCTGTCTCTGGGATGTCCTCCCATCCAGGACCCACAAGGTGAGAGATCTCCCACCCCAGTGGAGCCCACACCACTTCACTGTCCAGGGCTCCATGAAAAGCCTCCTGTGCTCTCTGAGAGCCCACTCACACCTGGGGACTGTCCCTGCCTGTCCAGGGCCTCCCATCTGACTGGAGGATCAGAGCAGACACAGACCAAAGCAGCTTCCAGCAGAGCCCTTTGCTTGGGGAGGCTGTTCCTGCTCACACAGCTCCCTCACTGCCCCAGCTCCTTCCTCAGGGGCAGAGCATCACAGGGACACAAGAGCAGCTTACCTCTTACGAGGTGTCACAGCCCCTCAGGGGGTCCTTTGCTACATCAGGTGTGTATATATACAATATATTATATATCACATATACCATATATAATATATCACATATACAATATATTATATATTGTTGGAGATTTTTTCAGAAATGGCTTAAAAGGCAGCTGTGAAGAGCAAATTCTCACAGCCTGTTTCTGTAAACAACTAGGTTCTCAGAGTTCTCAGACAGTTTTCTCATAACAGGTAAATATTCTATCTTCGGCTGTTTTGGGAAAGTAAAAGTAAGTTTTGAGAACACAAATCTTGGTATTGGAAACAAAAGGAGGAGTTGAAGTTTTCTCTACAGCCTATCAGGAGCTCAGATTTTGCAATATGCATGAAGTGAATTAGCACTGTTATAAAAGGTGTCAAATTTGATCAATAAACTGGAGTCGATGCTGACCAACAAAGGTGAGTCGTCTCCCTTCACTTCAACAATATATCACACATACAATATATTATATATCACACATACAATACATTATATATCACACATCTGTTCCTGCAGTCTCTACCTGCCTCCAGCAGCCCCCACCATTCTGTCCAAGGTATCCAAGCTGCTGCTGCTGATGCCACTGTACACCAGTGGCCTTGGCCAGCTCTGGCAGATGTTTGGGGATGGGAATTTATCAGTTCTGACAATTCAACAGCACTGTTGGTGTCTGGAGCTTATCAGCTGCTGGGAGCCTCTGACACTGCCCCAACACCTCCTGCTGTCTTCAGAGTGAGGTTTGCTGGGAGTTGTTTCTCCATCCACATTCCTGGCTACCAACAAAACCCACGTGCCTGCTCACACACAAGGGAACTTCAGACAATAGCACTAAATCTTTGTTACATTTGATTTCTACAGAGGTGATTCACATTCACTTTTCCAAGAAAAAACAGCATTCTAAATCATGTTCAGACTCTCTGTACTCAGATGAGACATGCTCAGCTCTGAGACACACAGCACAGCATGCAGGACTGGTAAAGCTCCCTGTAAGCAGCAGTGTGTTTTGGAAAGGCCAGGTAAAGGAAAAAGAATGAAAATCTTCCCAAACCAGGAATGCAGAGCACCTCACCTAACCCATCCTGACTGAGCTGATTCCTTCTAAGCCAGTTGAAACCTCATCCAGCTGTTCTCTGCTTCCAAGCAGGATCACTTGCTCCTCTTCCTCAGCATCCTTTATCCACTCAGCCCACCCAACTGCTCTCTCTGGTGCTATCCTTGGTCCTTCTTTCCTTCCCTCCTAATCCCTCTCCATCAGGAAATCTGGAGTTAAACCCCTTTTGAGGCATTCAAGCTGCTCTAGACCCTTTCTTTTTCCAGCCATCTATCAGTTATCCTGCTGGTCTGACAGAGACTTTCCTTTACCCAGAAGGAGCCCAGGACATTCCAGCAGAGCAGAGACACACCTGGCCCTCAGTGCTGCTTCTCAGGGAAGTATCAGAGAACCAGGGAATTTGCTTGAGCAGGAAGGGATCATCCAGTCCAACTCCTGGCCCTGCACAGACACCCCAACCATCCCACCCTGAGCCTGAGGGCAGTGCCCAAGCTCTCCTGGAGCTCTGGCAGCCTCAGGGCTGTGCCCATTCCCTGGGGAGCCTGGGCAGTGCCAGCACCTTCTGGGGAAAGAACCTCTCCTGATTTCCAACCAAAACCTGCCCTGGCACAGCTCCAATCATTTCCTGTCCCTGGTCACAGAGCAGAGGTTGGAGCTGCCCCTCAGGAGGAGCTGCAGCCCCTGGGAGCTCTGTGCTCCATCTCCTCTCCTCCAGCTGAACAAACCAAGTGCCCTCAGCTGCTCCTCCTGTGGCTTCCCCTTGAGACCCTTCCCCACCCTCATGTTCCTCCTTTGGACACTTTCTGACAGCTTTAGATCCTTCTGATACTGTGGTGTCCAGGACTAGAGGTGAGGCCACTTTGGCACAGAGCAGAGCAGGACAGTGCCCTCAGTGACTCTGGGCTCATGCTCAGCTCAACATCCACCAGCACCCCCAGCTGGTGGTGTCACACTGCAGCCTCTCATTCCCCAGTGTCTCTGTGCACCCATCCCAGCTGGGGATGCCCCTCAGTGCCCTGCCCACCTTTCCCTTGTGGGTCTCCTGGAGCCACTGGCGCAGGCGGATCAGGCAGCTCTCCTGCAGCGGGGTCAGCTGGCCCAGGTAGCGCTCGATGTAGTCAGCGTCCAGTTTGTCACCTGCAGGGGACACAACAGCTCAGGGCAGAGTGGCACAGCCAGCAGGGAGGGGAGCAGGTGCTTCTGCACATTGGGCTCCCTATGGTTTACATGGGATTTGCTCAGAAGCCTCATCCCAGCAGCCTGAGGGAAGGAGGGAGGGAGGGAGGGACACTCTCCTGGTGACTGGGGCACGAGGCCATGGCAGCATGTGCTGGATCACTCCACCTGGCTCTGCCTCCAATATTCCATTCAGCCCTGAATTGCTCCAGCAGGAGCTTTAAAAGATCTCTCATGAGCTCTGGCACTCAGCTCACCAAGCACTCCAAGACCTGGGCACTTCCATCTCCACATGTCCTCAATCTCACCCACAACTGCAGTGACAAGTGGCTTGCTGGGAAACCAAGCCATTCTTCTGCCCAGGGACACCAGAGACTGAGGGAGAACAACAGCACATTTCTGACAGCCAGGGAGGATTCTGGCAGGAGGAGAAGTCCTGTGCACACCCAGCAGCTCCTCCAGCTCACAGACAAAGGACAAGGGGTTGGTGACTGCCAGCACCGAGGGACAGGAGGATGTGACAGAGGGATGTGACAGAGGGATGTGACAGGGGGATGTGACAGGGGGATGTGTCACCCAGGGCTGGCAGCTGCCAGGCAGCAGAACAGGGCAGCTGGGGGGAGCAGCCCAAGCAGCAGATGGGGTGGAAGGCACGGGAAGCAGGGCTGGGGACACCTCAGAGCTGGTTCTTTGCCAGGCACAAGGTTCCAGTAGATGCCATCACCTACAGAAGGAGGCCTGGACACCCACAGGATAAGCAGGATAACAGAAATTGCATTTGGAAGTGAGACATCCCATGGAACCCCCAGAGCCAGCAAGGTGGGGAGCAGGCCCAGGGGAGCTAATCCTGTCCTGAGCAGGAATATGGGCACAAAAATAAGGGCCACTCTCCTCTTCTGCTAGCTGGGACCCACCACTCTGAGGACAACATTAATCTCAAACATTTCTCCTAATCAGCTTCTCTGTGGATTCTTATCTTTTTCCAGAAAAGCTCCCAGAGAATGTCAGGTGAGAGCAGAACTACTGATATTTCCGAATTCCAAGCTTTTTGCCTAGTTACACTCAGCAAAACATGTGCTGCCTTTCCTTCTCAGGAATGACAACAACTGTTTCTATTACAACAACTCTGGATTTAAAGGTCCCTCCTATTTCTTTTTGCCAGAGAAGTCTTTTATTTAGTCTAGAAAATATCATCAGACCAACACATGGTAAGATAAAGTTTGATTCAGGCATTTTGTGGGAAAAATGCATTAGGAGACATTCCTCAAGTTTGTCTTGGCCAGATACAGGACCAAAAACGATCCAAACCTGTCCCCAAGAATATTAATTTTGGAACAGATAAAATATTTAATTCCAGCATACTGAAGGCACCTTCTCTAGTTTAAAGTATAAAATACCTGATCAAACCTAATTTTTTTTCTAAGCTCCAAAACATACTGCCTGCACAGCTTTTTTGTTTTAGGGGAAAGAAAAAGTTCCATTGTTTATTTTCCTTGAAAAAAGAAAATAGCTTTCCCTCCTCCTCCTCCTCTCCCACACTCCAGACGAAAAACCTGATGCCAAGAGAAATGGAAATAAGCTGGTGGGTCAGTGAGAGCAGCAGTGCCTACCGTCGGGGCTGGCAGGCTCGGGGGGCGGGCAGGGGCTGCC